AATTTTTAAAGGTTGGAAAAAATGGCAAAGTTTTGCTTTCCCAGTTGCACAGTGGCATTTACAATATTTTGGCTCAGAGCCCTTTTGCATGTATTGAGAACAAAATAAACTGCGCTGTTTAAAATCACCAGTTCATTCCTCAGCATCTAGGCGTCAGCTGGAGATGCCTCCCCTTTGTGTTTTATCTAATATAATTTTAATAGCATAATTGCCTTTGGAATAGTGTCTTTCATTCCACATATATGTGATCTCTAGTAACTGATTAGTAGCTTCCTTTAAACTTAATTTTTAAGATTCTGCCAATTTAGTGGTTGAAAAATGATCATCTACTGTCCCCTGCTGGATTCCTTGAGCATGCATTCTTTCTCCCTTCCTCTTTTTCCTCTGAGGTCTCCCCACTTTTCCAAGTCAAAAGCTTTGTCTCAGTGGAGTCACTAGAACTTGTTGCCAAATACCTCCAAAATTGTAGGGGAATAATAAAACCCTCAAGCACTGTCTTTTTAGTGTTAGAAAGCAAGACATTACTTTATTTGCAGCATTGGGTGTGTATGTGGCCAACAAAAATCCTGCCTCCATATGGACACCAATACATTACTTTTTCACCTATTTATATATTTTTACCAAACAAATTATTATTAATTGGTTCTTAATTACATAATTTTCTTTCGTTATTTACTGTTCTACCCTCTATTGGTTATTAATTTCTTGCTTTCTATGCTAATTAAGTCCACATCTTTAGTCTGTTTAGTATTTTTTTCCTGAATTTTTTGTTAATTCTTTTCTTTATCTGCTGGTTTCTGCAAAATGTCCTTGGTGGTTCATTCCAGATGTCCAACAATACATCTTTTTCTCTTGGGCTTTGTTCATTGAAGCACATCCAAGTTAGTTTAGCAAAACTTACCGTTTTAGTACTTTTCCCAAACTATGTTCTCATAAAAGTAGCTTATAACAATTTTTGCTATATGCTAGCTAAAAGTGATATGAGGCCTAATACAATTTAGGATTAATTAAAACAGCTAATTAAAAGTTTAATTAAAACTATATATTAAAACCAAATATCAGAAAAGCTTTATCATTCCAACAGTAGTTTGACTTTGTTCACATGGAGTGAAGGGCAGAAATACTGTAGAGGAATATGGAGGCTTTTGCATCATACTTTCCATCTCACTAGCACAAGTTATGGCAGAGCAGTCTCAAGCTCCCCTGTGTTCACTGTTGAATACTGTTCAGCTAACAGTTTATCACATTATATTAAATAGGATTTCATTAAGAAAAAAAATCTGTTCAACAAATGGCCTAACGATGTTGAAAAACCTGTTATGAAGCCTCATGAACCAATTAAGCAAACAAATATAATTTATGGGGAATTCATCTTCTTTCTCTCCAGTAGAACTTGGATTACTATGCTGGCCAAATTTGTCTTTATTGTATTTCCACTCTATTAACAGCTCTGATTCCTTCCCAAAAGTAGTTTAGTAGGCCTGTCAGCAAACATCTTAAATATTTCTCCAGAAAAATATTTTTTATCTTCCTGCTGTGTGCTTATGAGATCTAATCTATGTCCTGAACTTGCAAGGTGCATTTTAGGAGATGTCTGCAAGGAGAGAGAGGAATGTTAGACCTTGGTGTTAGTGCCAGAGTTGGACCTGCAGGACCAGAGGAGAGCTTGCTTCACAGGGCCAGGTAATAGTGACTGCAATGATGGATAGTTTCTCTATCATCTTGGTGAGAGTTAGGCCAGTGTTTCCTAGGAATAGAGAGGCTGCCACCCTGTGCCAAGAGTCCTTATTGCCTTTACACAGGCAATGTTGGTGCTTCAGCAAGAGAGCAGTCTATCATAGTTTGGGTTTTTTGAGAGAAGGTTTTCTGCTGTTTAAATGAATTCTCACATGGATGCACATAGACACAAAGAAGTATGTACAAAGGTGAAAAACTCCCCTTGAGTTCCGTGAAATAGTCACGTTAGGAGCCTTGGCATTTTTCAAAGGCTGGAGGGTTGAGATTTGAGGATTAGGGGGATTTTCACCTGTCCAAACTGTGGGCTGTCAGCTTCTCCAAGGAGAATGTTCTGCGAGACATTATCAAAGGCTTTACTGAGGTCCAGGTAGACAACATTCACAACTTTTCACTGATTAACTAGGTGGGTAATCTGATCATAAAAGGAGATGAGGTTGGTCAAGCAGGACCAGCCTTTCCTAAACTAATGGTGGCTGGACCTGAATGCCTTGATTGTTTTGTATGTGCCATATAATCAGTCAAGATAATCTGTTCTATAACCTTCCCAGGCACTGAGGTCAGGTTGACAGGCCTGTAGTTCCCCAAATCCTGCTTCCAGCCCTTTCTGTGGATGTGCATCACATTGGCTAATCTCCAGTTGTCTGGGACCTGCCCAGTTATCCAGGACTGATGATAAATGATGGGGAGTGGCTTGTCTAGCTCTTCCACCAACTCCCTCAGTGGATGAATCCCGTCTGGTCCCACAGACTGGTCCAAATGGCTCAGCAAGTCACTAACTACTTCCTCCTGTATTACATGAGGTTTATTTTGCTCCCTACTACCTCAAGGACTGGTTTCCATGAGGATAACTGGTGTTGCTGTTAAAGATTGAGGAGAAGTAGGCATTAAGCACCTCAGACTTTTCCTCATCCTTGGTGAAAGTGTTGCCCCCCGTGCCCAATAAAGGATGGAGATTTTCCTTGGACCTCCTTTTGTTGCTAATCTATTTATGAAAACACTTATTATTTTTCACAGCATTGGCTAGATTGAGTTCTAGCTGAGTTTTTGCCTTTTTGATTTTCTCTCTACATGACCTAAGAACATCCTTATACTCTTCCTGAGTTGCCTGCCCTTTCTTCCAAAGGTCAACCAGGCCAGTCTTCTTCCCTGACAGCTCATCTTTGAGCACATAAGGTCCTACTCCTGCATATTTAAGATTTCCTTCTTAAAGTATGCCAAAAAACTCTATAATTTCATGATCACTGTGCCCAAGATGGCTTCTGCCACAGCCCTTCTCTCTTCATAAACAGCAGGTCTACTGGGGTACTACACTGGTAGCCTCACTTACCCCTGCAACAGGAAGTTATCTTCCACATGCTCCAGGAATTTCCTAGACTGCTTCCTCTCTGCTGTGTTTTCAGCAGACAACTGTCAAGTTAAAGTCTCTCACAAGAACAAGGTCTGGTGATCATGAAACATCAGCCAGCCGCTTACAGAATATGTTATCTGCCTCTTCATCCTGGTTGGGTGGTCTGTAACAGTCCCACCATAATGCCTTGTTAGCTTTCCCCCTGATTCTTATCCATAGGCACTCAACCTTATCATCACTATCCTTGAGCTTTATACAGTCAAAACACTCCCTTAATGTAGAGAGCTCCCTCACCGCCTCTCCTTCCTCGCTTGTCCCTTCTGAAGAGCTCCTGACCATCCGTTGTACTCCAGTTATGCAGTCGTTTCACCTTGTTTCTGTGATGGTCACTATGGCATAGCTTTCCTGCTGCACAATGGCTTCCATCTCCTTCTGTTTGTTACTCCTGTTGTGTGCATTGGTATAGATGCACTTCAGCCGGGCTGTTGATTTCACCCCCAACAGTGGCATACTGCCTCCAGGCTCATGTCCAGTGAGCCCGGTCTTATCCTTTTCCCCCTTCAAACCTGGTTTAGAGGCCTCTCATTCAACCCTTCCGACTCATAGGCTAATATCCTTTTCTGCCTTTTTAGATGTTGCAGGCTGTCAGGGGATGACTGATTTTGCCCTCTCCTACCTTAGTCATGCAGGAATTCCTGGTACAATCAAGGGATGCTTCACTGCCAAACTCTTTACACGAAGGCCAAGGCCTAACAGGATTCCTGAGGTTGTAGAGTGGTCCCGAGGAGCAGTGGGATGGATGCACCACCCCATGGTATCTATATTCAAAATATTCTTCTCGTTACACAGAATTAATTAAAATACCTGATCTTTGCCTTCAAAATCACCACCACTACTTGAATAACCAAGGAACAAGTTAGTTGTGCTAGACAAAACATTTTTATGCCAATGAATTGCGCCCCAGTAATTATGGATGGAAACGACTCTAACCCTGTCACATATGAGACCCTGGTTTCCACCTCTCTAGCTTTCTGAAAGGGAGATAAAACTTTAGGTAAAGAATACTGACATCTTCTGGCTGGATGAAATAATGCAAAGAGCTCCAGTCATACCTTCCTAATTTATGTTTAGAAGAATGTGTTACAATTTTAAGAAAAGTGAATGACTGTATTTCCCAGTAGATGGAAATGCAAACTTCTAAAATATGTCAGGCTTGTGAAAAGCCTTAATAGTAAAAAAAAAAATCTTGTCTTGTAATTTTACTGCTGTTCATGAAGATGCAACTGTTATTCATGCTAAAGTTATTGTTTATTTTAAGATAGTCTTTGATCACTTAGTCTCAGATGTGCTCTTGGATTACTGCAAGAAGCATGTTGTGAACTTTATGGACTGACTTTAGAGTTGATTTTGTCGTTGCGAGTGTTGTAGGAAGTGAATCTTCATGGAAGAGGAAAGCCTGGACACAGTAAAGTCAATGAAAAGTTGCACTAGTGATGTCTGTGGACTATGTGCCTTTTGAAAGGCACAAGATAATTAGATTAATGTTTTACAGGAGTAATTTTAACTATATAATCTAATTTTTGTGGTTGCATTAAGATAATATCCTAGCCTTAAGAAAGACATAGTTTTGTTAAGTAAAACCAACACTGCAGTAGCCAGTATTTCATGTGTGACTTTGGGAATGGATTGCAAACAACAGAAAGTGATGCAAGCACTTGATATTAACAGAGTCAATTACCTGAGTAATGACACCCTGGAAAATAATAGATTGCGACAATAAAAAATTCTTTCATCTGATGCTGTTTTTGGTTTGATTGTCTATAGAAATTACTTTTAGTTCTGTTTGAAGTAATTTAGTCTCCATTCCCTTACTGTATTACAAATATATAATTAATAGTATATGTGTCTTTAACAGGAACCAGTGATCCATATGTCAAGTTCAAACTTGGAGGAAAAGAAGTATTTAGAAGTAAAACAGTACACAAGAACCTCAATCCTGTGTGGGAAGAAAAAGCTTACATTCTTATCGATAACCCAAGAGAACCATTGTATATAAAGGTAGGACACTATCTTACATATGTTGGACAAATTACAACAGAAGAGTTATTGAAAGAGTTTAATTTTGTGATTTTTGTATGCTGTAAAGTTTATTGTACAATAGTGCATTACTAAAGACTATTATTTAAATTATGTCTGTGGAATGATGATATCAACATTTTAGAAAGTGGCAAATACCACAAATCTTTTTGTTTATTTGAGGTCATCATTGTTTTGTATTTCTTTAGTGTGATCTTAGCAGAAGGACAGAGAAAGTAAACTGTCTTTCATGGTGATGGCATGTGAGAGGCTTGTGCTCACATACTTGCATTCAAACCCTTTGAGTCCTGCAGCAGTGTTGTAGCCTTTGGGCCATAGGATTTCTGTTACTGCTGTCTTAACGCTGTCCATATTAAGATATTTGTGGAAGATGAACCTCTTTGCCTCCTGGAAAAGAGTTAGTGTAATACAATAGTTGAAGTATTTGCATTAAAATTGAAGAACTTGAACTTAGTCCTGTTATACCTCAGTTAAATGTTCTCCTTACAAGATGTTCACGAGTCTCACTTTTACTTAGCTGAAAGTATATTCTGGTCCTCAGAAATCCTCATGACAATGCTTACCAAAAAAAATTTAATTTACCTTGAAAGTTGATTTTGATAATTGACACTTTCCCTTTTTTTTTTTTTTGTGTCACAATTTTTTTTTGTTGCCTTTTTTGTTTATTTCTCTGCAAATCTGCCCCTAGTTTATTTGTTGTTCTTTCTTCTGACTTAGGAAGGTGTAACCCATCTCAGTTTGTACTATTCAATGTATTGGCCACAGATTCCTGTCTGGATATCAGAAAATTTGTCCAGGTGCTCTCTCTTTAGGTAGGAAATTAGCGGGCAGGGTTTTCATAGTAGATTATTAAATGTCATTGTTTCCTTACACATATCCATTAAGTTTTAATCTTAGATTGTAATATTTCTAACCCTAGAAAATTATGCAACCTTCAAAATGTACAATTATATTATTCCTAATACTGATGCAAGTGCTGTAATAACCCACTTTTCATAACCGTATCCTGCCCTCCTCCTTCCATTTTGCAGAATTGATAAAGGAATCAATGTATAGCAAATCAGTGATTCTGCTTAACTTTAGATATTCTTTTGATCTTCATTCTTTCAGTGCCAATGTTTATCAGAATGCTTTTTTTTTTTTTATAAAATTGATGTTCACATATGTAGTCTAATAGTAGTATACACCACTATGTGTCTCTACGTGATGCAGTCTGACTTTTAAACAAGCAGTTTCAAGCTTGATTTCTGGCCAGAAAGTTTCAGGTTGCTTTCAGGTAGTCCTGGTTTAACAGGTGAGAAACATGAAGCTGTAACTCTGGAAAAGGAGTTTCAAGAACCATTCATAAAGTCAGAAAAGCTCAAAAGAAAGAAGATTTCTAGTACTGAAAAATGCTCCTGTGCATCTTAGGTATTTGACTATGACTTCGGACTTCAAGATGACTTCATTGGTTCAGCATTTTTGGATCTCACGTCATTGGAATTAAACAGGTATGGCACAAACAAGCCTACAGAATATTTCTATATGGCTGTCTGCTAATATCATGTTTGTGGAATTGCAAATAGTACTTTATGCTAGAAAATAATTATACCAGAGAATATTTTGGGTTGGAAGGGACCCACAAGGATCATTGAGTCCAACTGTTAAGTGAATGGCCCATATGGGGATGGAACACACAACCTCGGTGTTGTTAGCACCATGCTCTAAATAACTGAGCTAATCTCAGGGTTTATATATAAACCTACTAAACTAACCAAGGAAAACCACATATGGTTAGGAAAGTACTTTATTCTGAATGTTTATATATTAGCTGATTACGAACAACATTTTTATAGTGTCTGTGGAGCAGTTAGTTTTATAACCACTTTAATCTTGGTTTTATGCTGTCTTCATTCACAACATAACCACCTGCTGTTTGACTTTCTTTTTTCTGGTTTTTAATCCATTAATGTTAAAGTTCTGATTTAATTTCTTAATAAGTAAAAGCATTTAGTATTTTTTTATGATCATTTAGACAGAAATACTTTAAAGCAGAAATAGGGCAAATTTGTGACACTGTTTTTAAGTAATTTCTTATAAATGGAGATGCCTTTAATTCTCATAATTCAGAAATTTCATTATCTGTGAAATATATCCATAATATATCAAGTTAATGGAAATCAAAATAAATATGTACTTTTTTGTCTCCTAGGCAGACAGATGTTACCTTGAGTCTGAAGGATCCGCATTACCCTGACCATGATCTGGGAAGTATATTCTTGTCAGTTCTGTTGGCTCCCGGAGAACAGCGAGAACAGGTAATTTTAATATTTTAATATTTTAATAAGTGTGATCGCTCCTGTGATTGTTCTGTGGTTGGATGACTTAGAGCACAAGAGTAAACCTCAAATTCTGAGATTAATTTGATTTTTCTAATACTTAAAATAACACTGAACGGTGTTTCGGTATAGTACAGCGTGCTTCATCTGAGTTGGATCCTTCCTGAGATAGTAATGAGGAATCCAGATGGAACATAAATTTCAGATAAAGTCAGTTACAGGTGAATGGTGCTGATTAATATGGAGAAACATCAGTAAACCACTGGCTGAGAATTTTGGACCTAGTGCTGCTATCTCTAGGTAAGAATATTTGATTCCTATTCCATGCTGAAAATAAAGCTGAAAAAATGTAGTGTTTCTGCTTTTTTACATCTAATATTAAAGTATTATTTGATGTTTTTTAATTTCCTGTTTACATTTCAATTATGAAATGGTGTGATTTTCTAGGTTTATTCTAGTTCCTTCATCAGTCTTAGTTTTCTGAGCTGCTTAGTTGTAAGTGAAAATATTTTCCAGTTTTCTAGTCCTAGTTGTGACAAACTCTATCTCTAGATGGATATATTTTACTAGCTTTTTGTGTGTTGACTTTTGACTTGGGTAGTATAACCGTGGCAGAAATAGAAGAGATGATATCTCAGAGGTTGTAAAATAATATGGATTCCTCTGGCTTCACAGAGGCTGCAGTGAACCACATGGACCTTGCAGCTAAATTTTGCCTTAAATAAGCTGTTTTCAAATTAAAGAAGAAATCGCTGTTAAGCAACAGATCCTGTAGAGGCAGGGTAGCGTTTTTTTTTTAATGCCAGTCTCTTTGCCATACCAGCAGTCACCCCTGTGCAGCCACTCGGAAACTTTCTTCAGAAACTTTGCCCAGGCACTCGGACACATAGACACACACCATGAACTCCACCCCGACCCCCAACGCCACCAGACTTCCAGAATCTTCCGGAAAGAAGACTGCACATGCCCAGAAGTCATCCAGGAGGAGAGATTGGGGCATTACTGGATAAACTCCCAATTTTTGACCTGTATGTGGGCCCCCACCTCTGATGGACCGGGACTATGTATTGTAACCACAGACTATGATCACCCATACATGGCTTGAGCCACGGGTGGTGATATCCTTCTCTCTTTTCTCCTGTCTCTTTTTCTCTATTTTTCTCTTTCCAATTTTCCTCCTCTAAGATGATCATACACTCCAGAAAAGCTATACACCCCTTTTCCAATCCATTACCTTTTTTCTCCAGTTTTGGTTTTAAAGCATGTTTTAATTAAATTTGTTGTTATATTGGTTTTTTAGCATCATTTTGCTTTAATCTTTCCCCAAGGATCTGTTAACAATGAACCTGGTTGCCCTGCCTCAGAAGTCGGTTGCAGCAGAGGCCAAGGAAAAAGAAAGCATTAATCTGATTAAATTTTCCATGGATATGGTCAACTACATGGTTTTTGTAAGACCATTTATGTTTCTGAATGCTGCAGTGTGAGTCATCATCCTCTTGCATACCTGAGGGCTACTGGCAGGTTGTAATAGTTCTTTTTCCACTTTTCTCCCAGGTAACATTAAATAGCCTAGTAAGTCAGTTACTGGAACTAGATATTTGGTATAACCAAGATGATGTAGAATTTTGAAAATGGGTTTCTTCTCTGTTAGTTTGCCTCGTAACATTTTGTTAGCACTGAATAAAAATAATGGAATATGGTAGTAATGCGCATCTAGCTTATTTAAACAGTGTATTTTACTTTTTTTTAAGCAATATGTTTGTCCAGACAATTTAGAATTCTGTCTTGCACATTTGCACCGCAAGTGTTTGTTACTTAAATGAAAAATTTATTTTATTTTGGATTTTTTTTGCGTGCATTTAGGTAAGACCAACATTTCTGAGTCAGATGGTAATTGCCCTGTTTTTCCAAGTGGTTTTGGCACTATCCTGCCATAATACTAAATCAAGTAGCACAGAAATACTGTATTTTTATGTGGGACATGATTATGTGAACAGCATGTTAGTTTCCTTTTTCATCATACTGCGCTGATCTGTGTTGTCAGCTCTTATAGAGAGAGTGCTCAAGAAAATTACAGGTGAGAAAGTGAAATTAAGACACTACAGTGTAGTTTGTCTTTCATAGGGGGGTTGGTGATTTAGCTACTGAATGTCAAAAGTATTGGGAGCACCACAGACTTGTTGGGTAGCAACTTTTTTCATATCCAACTGATTGGTTGTAATAGGAGGAAGAACTGGGTTTGTGCTATCACACATTTAATTGTTTGCTTTTTTTAGTTTAGCTCAAGTGAAAAAATTTTCTTCCCATTCAAACTGTTAAATGGGACTTCATTCTGAAAATGTTCAAGATTCCAATTAAGAATCTGGTTCCTAATCTGAATCTTATTGTTAGAAACCAGTCTTCCGAGATACAGATCTCAGAGCAGTTCTGGCAAAGTTGCAGTAAAATCAGAGAATTTGTATCACAGTACGAGCAAGATAACTTACACAATTAATATTAAATTGATGTATATGAATGTGTTGGGGGTTTCATAATTAAAGACTGAATTATCTTGTACTCAGTTACCATATGTACTTATTTATTTGTTAGATTTTTTTACTCTTTAAGGAGTAGATATATTGCTAAGTGTATCACTCCAATTAAACTATTGTCTTTGGTTATTTTTGAAAGGTTTTGTAATAATGACGATAATTTCTATTGAAATTAGTATGGCTGAGATCAATAAATTTTCAAATGTTGTTAAAAGATCAAGACTAATTCTTGTCCACTCTCGAAATGTGCACCATATAAAGTAGCAATTAAATAATGTCCTACATTCTCATGCTGTTTGAATGATTGCTGCTCCCCCTTTACTTGGATATCTCTATTTAAGTAATAATTCAAGTGTGGTTGAAATGTATAGATAAAAACCTGTGAGCACCTTTAAATATGCTTTAATGACTGCTGCACAGAAGACATGCTGTCTCTTCACATTATGTACATTTTTTCCTAAGTAATTTCACATTTACTTAAAGCCTGTTTGTTTGATATCCCTATATAGCTTACATTTCAAAAATATAGTTTCTTCTGAATAGGTTTTATTTTGCTCTGGTGATAACTTGTGAATTCCTTGCAACTAAGAATTGCAAGTCATTGAGTAATTAAGATAATATTTTGCCATTTTACACCATTTACATGTTGTCACACATAAATAGTGTAGAATGGTTAAATCATAGAGCTGAATATTTCAGAAATTAACTGCAAGTACTTATATTGAAGGTACTATAATTCCATATATTTTAAATGAGAGTGTTATTAAGACCATTGGGAAATAAAAAAAAAAGGAATAGCTTCAACAAAAGAAGTATTAGCTTTCCCATGTAGCCATAGAAGCCACATATCCTGTATTTTGGGCAGGTCTATAGCCGTATTTCAAATAAAGACCTCTTGAACAAGATGATGTTTGTGATGTGTCCTTTGGTAACTTGATGTGGATGATACTTTCCAAAGAGATCCTTTCACTGCCTCAACTGCAGTGAGGTTGTTTTAGAGGTCATGCATTGATGTGCAGGTGAAGGAAAAGTTTTCTGAGAGTGTGTTTGTGTGGCTCGAGGACAGGTCCTGTAGCAAAGTGCTATATTGGCATTTCAAAATAATGTAGCTATATGTTACAGGAAGATGCATCCTGTCACACTGCATAAGAAATATTGATGCTGATGGAGGATAAGGTACTCCAAGTGGAAGTTTGAAGTTAAATGAGACAAAATGGGGGGCCTTATATATTGCCATCTGTCTGTGAGAGAGGTATTATTGCAAATGATTTTAAAAATAAGCAGTCCATTTGACACAGTAATAGATTATTTTGTTTTGGGTGAAGCCTTGAGATGTGAAAAGAGATGAGAGAGAGATTTGATCCACACAGGAGCATTTTCTTCCTTATCTTTCTGGAAAAAAATTCTGATGAAATTCAGATTTTCTGTGTACTGACTGATAAGGTGATCTTGAGAATTATAGCTGGAAGGTCCCATTTCCTCAGATCAAAACATTACATTTTTGGATTCAGATATCAATTAAGAATGTTAACATATACATATGTTCATATAACTGTATGTAAAATTATATTACAATGACTACAAAAGGGGAGTATTTATTTTGGAATCTGGTGGAAAAACAGTGCTTAAGTAGTTTATGATTGTGTTTTTCCAGTATGAGAATATTGGACATAGTTTCAATTAAAAGAAATTCAATATACTAGTTTCATAAGTAAGAACACAGTATTCGATTTTGTGGTACATTTTATGTGAAGAAGATGCAGAAGTAGCCTGCAGTTATTAAATATTAATGTAAGAGCATGGGCAGGTGAACAAATCAAAATTTCTAGCAAATCTTGTCTCTAAATATCCTTGCCTTTTTCTACCTGGTGCTTGTTCTAAAAGCATAAAAATGTGAACATTTGAGGTAATAATCTTGTAACCTCTTATTTGAACTATGTATAAATATTCTTTTGATTTTTGACAAATGAAGGCAATCTGATTAGTTCTGATTTTTGAACAATCATAAATTGTGAATAAATTTGATTAATGAATTATTCTTATAGGACAATAAAAATTAGAAAGTTTTTAATATTTGTGTCCATTTCCGGCCTAACACACTTAAGTTGCCATAACACTAGTTACAGTAATTCATTTGTATTTGCTCTGTGCTATTAACAGTACTTACCCTTTACATTAATGTAGCATTTTAATTTTATTGCCTTGAGAGGACAGATAACTTAGGTAACTACTGTAAACTAAAAAGATGTAAAATAAATAAGTATGGGGAAAGTATGTATATATAAAAATGTTAAAACATGTGAGCTCTAAAAATTCATTAATTTATCTGTATTTATAAAAAATAATGTGTTTATGATGTACTGTCTGTATCTTTCCTTTTGATGGCCTTCTGAATTTCTCTTTTTGATGACCAGTTCAAAAGAAGTCAGAACCAGCAGTTACTCAGTTTTTTTCTTGGACCTGCTCCAAAGCAGCTTGTTTTGTTTCTTCTCTGATAGTGTTCTAGTAGTATTCCCTTTGGATACATGTAGTGCAGCGCATGCCGGTGTGCTGTTTTTAACTACATGCGTGTGTACAGGCTTCTTGCAAATTCTGTTTGGTGTTGTAGTCGTGGGTGCCACAGTGCATGTGAGTTTTTCTGTCTCTTTCTCCATCAACATTCAGTGCACAGATTTCACCACTGGAGAACTTATAGTGACTGTAGCTTCTTCAGAGCTGCATGTCACCCAGGTCTTCACTACAATAGCTGTTTCCTACCTGGGTCAATTTCCAGCTACAGGAAATGACAAAGTTGGTAGCTTGATGAGAACTGTTCTCTTGGGACCAGCAGAGATTGAGGACAACTGTTCACTGCTGGCAGCCTAAGAGGCACAGAAAATGGAAAAAAGGAAGCCAAGTGCTACTTGGATGTTGTTATTTAATGAGATTAAAGTTCAAGGCATTGTTTTTTCCCTAAAATGATCTATCTTAATGATGCTTAGTTTTTTTACTTCATATGAAAATATTAACAACATTAATATGCTGTCAGTTTGTTTGCTGTATTAAATCTTATAATACACTATTACTATTTATTTGTTTGTTTGTTTGTTTTATTTGCCAGAGGGATAATAATACAATAGGAAACAAAAGGCAGAGACTGAGGGCATGGAATATTTTCAGATTAAAAAGTTCCATGTAGATCATTCATCCTGATCTGTCCTACGCTATATATTTATTTTACTGGCTTCTAAGGGTGTTGCTATGGCTTCAGCTTATCTTGCTCTAGCTGGTAATGATGCCGGTGCACTCAGCAAATACAGTATATGTTTCTGTAGCTAAAAGTCAAACTGAACTCCTCAGAGTTGAAAGAATCGTAGAATCATAGAGTTGTTTGGTTTGGAAGAGACCTTAAGGATCATCTAGTTCCAACCTCTTCCACTAGACCAGGTTGCTCAGGACCGCATCCAACCTGGCCTTGAACACTTGCCAGGATGGGGCAGCCACAGCTTCTCTGGGCAGCCTCACCACCCTCATGGTGAAGAATTTTTTCCTAGTATCTAATCTAAACCTACATAGTCAATTCAGCTGTTGGGCCATATTCTCTTCCTTACTCACAGCCTGGTCTGAAGCCTAGTGAAGCTGAGTTTGTACTCTGACTTGTAGCTGTGTAGGATTCAGAAATGACGAGGAAGAGAGAAGCTGTGCTGTGCTGGACAGGACCCAGGAACTCAGACATTTTCATTAGAGCCTTCTGTGGGCCTCAAGCTGCTTAGTTCTTACATGCTTCTTCTGTAAAAATGAATTCAGGGGCTTTCTCCAGCTTTATAAAGCGTTCAGTATCTGTGTATATTTTACAAAGCCACAGTGCTACAATTATCACTAACTTACAGCAAAGCCCTTGGGTTTTAACTGTCCATAGCAACTTAAAAAGCATCCTCAGCAGCTTGGTGTTTTTCTTCTCCCAAAAAGCTGTGTCTATTTGAAAAATTTCTGGATATTTCAAACATATAAATCCTACATATTTTTTCTCATTTTAATTTTTCCCCATGATGTAATTTAATTTATTAGCGAGGAAAATGTTTGCTTTTCAAAATTTATTTCCATTATCTGAAAAAAAAGTGGTTTTGCAATAGTTAATAAAAAGAAACATTACATTTACTTTTCATGACAAAGTTTCAAAAGGAGTCAATGTTCTTTGATTTATTCTTGGTCAGTGTCAATATCAGGCTGCTAGATGTTATTAAATTGTATAAAGTAATTTTTCTGCATTTCCACAGAGCTGCTTAAGCAACAGTTGTGTTCACAGATAAATTTTCCCCAATCTACTTGACCAGTATGTCTCCTTTATGGAATGATTTAGAATCTGTCTGTGGACACTTTGCCTCTCAGCATGTCAGAGCATGGTGTTTAGCAGTGCCAAGGTTTTACAGGTTATTTAGGTATTGGGACAGGGCATCTGAGATTTAGGTTTTTTAAAGAATGAAGGTATAACTTTGTTTTCTCCCTCATGTGCGTAATTATCAAACTAAAGAGAGATTTTTACTGCTGTGAAATGAACTAACAGCGGTAACTTTAAGGATTTTGTAATAGATTCATGTTATCAAAGGAGTCTTATGCGGGATTTCTATTATATGGCTACACTTACGAGTTAAACAGCAGCGTTCCAAAAAAATGGAGTACCCTATTATTAAAAAAGACTACTATTCAAGTATCAGTCAGAATTGTAATCACTATCAGTAATGGCACATTCATTTTTTTCCATTTGCTTATCTAATTCTGTTTTTCTGTCTTTCTTATGTCAAGTTCACATAATGCATTGTCTCCAGAAATGAGACTTTCAGACCACCAAGAAAAGTATGCCTGGGTGTGCAAAGGGCTGCTACTTGCCTGGATTTGTTTCTGTGTATCTGTTGCTGAGTTGTACATGTTGCTGTTTCAGTTGTAGTGGTGGTTAAATGTGAATTGTCCTGTTGGAGACAGTTGGCCTCCTTTTCTGTATTGCAGAGGAAAGGTAATTAAAATGCTTTATTTTATTTTCAGACAATGCTAATGAGGAAGAGTTGGAAAAGATCAAGTAAGGTAACTGTTATTTTTAGCATGTGGTCTTCTGGCTGTTTGTTTTTGGGTTTTTATGGGGTTTTTTTGGAACAACTATGATGTTTTACCAAACATGACATCTAGGACTGTAAACTTCTGGCACAGGATTCATTGTCCTTCAAAATGTGTTTTAAGGACCTTGTTTTTGGTTTCATCAAATCAAAATCATGAATGTAATCATAAAACCTGTCAACTTTGTTACAGCATTTTAACCTATCTTGAAGTCATCTGGTAATGGCCAACATGTCCTGATTCCTTTTCTAAAATCTTTATTTCCCACCTATAAACAATTTCCTTTGTTAATGGGAACAAGGAATTCATGCAAAAGGATAACTTTCATTTTCTTATTAGTTACTCATTAGAGGTTCTGTGTGCTGTTTTCACAGTGATGCTAGTCGTCCATAGGTGACAGTCATAGCCAGGCTTTAAAAAAGCAGAATGCTTAAGGAATCATTCTTGGTGTCCACTTTATAGAGCTCTTTAGATGCCTCTTCAAGCAAATTCAGTATCTGGCTTTTCCCCTCTTAGGAACTGATAAAAAAGGAGCAGTGTATGCTCTTTTCCACAGGGGAAATGCTGAGAGTTTTACTATAGTGGAATACAACCAGTTTTTACCTTTCTTTTTTGCTGTATGTGTCTCCAAAGAGATAAAGAAAATGTATATAGTTTCTTAGTAGTTTTCTGACCAGTCTTACCTAATGCTGCCATTCTGTTTAAAAGTTTTAAGCCTTCTTACTATTTGTATTGATAAAAATAAAATTGAAATTTCTTGAAATCTCGAGTTGGTGTGGTAGATCTGGGGTTTTTTGATATGTTGCCATGTAAAGGTGTTAAAATGAGAAAAAAAAGTGAAATGGCTATGTGGAATGATTGACTTATTTTATAAGGTTATTTGCTTTTCTAGCATATTGATGCACAAATTTAAATAGAAGGTTGTTAACAAACGATGTTGTATATGCTGCTCACTTGACAAATATTTACACACTTTTTAATCTTTAAGTAAGAGAAGAGAGCAGTGTTCATAATTCTTGGGTTATGGATGGGTTTTTCACAGTTTGCTTCTGGGTGCAGGACAACACTCTATCTCTGCTTCCTTTTTGAAATTTCAGAAGCAAAGATATTTCGTGATAATGTATAGTATTTTGATTCTCATATGGTTCATGTAACTTCATGAAATATCTAAGGTGCTTAAATTCCTGATGAGATAAGGAAGAGCTGTGAGAATGGTGAAGGGTAGAATTGTTTTGCATCATGAAAGTGATGTGTTGGCTCTTGATATGCTAAATATATGGTTGTTCTCATACTTCAAATTACAAATTGACAAAACTATGAGCTTCAATAATCCTGAATGAATGGCACAACATGATAATTGGGAATTCTTGAGAGCTCTTCAAGTGAGTTATTTATTCCTGGTCTCCTTTGTTACATTAATTTCATAACATTTCATTCAGTAGTGGCATTTTTGCAAATTGGCCTCAGAGCTGGTACTCCAGGTGGGGTCTCACCAGAGCAGAGTAGAGGGGGAGAATCACCTCCCTCAACCTGCTGGCCATACTTTTCTTAATGCAACTCAGGATACAGTTGACTTTCTGGGCTGCAGCAACATATCACTAGGTCACATATGTTAAGCTTCTTATCTACCAACACCACCAAGTCCTTCTCCTCAAGACTGCTCACAATCTATTCTCTGCCCAGCCTGAATTTGTACTTGGGTTTACCTTCACCCAGGTGCAGGACTTTCCATTTAGCCTTGTTGAACTTCATGACATTCACATGGGCACCCCTCAGTCACAACTGACAAGGTACTTCTGATTACTTACAATTGGGGATAAAAGCATGCATTTACTGCCTAAAGCAAGTGAATGAAGTTGATTTTTAATTTGCGTTTAGATAACTATATTTGCTTTAATTCAGCTTTAGAAATTTTTGCATATACTTTTAAGCTGAAAAATAGAATGTATGAACATTTTAAGCAAGAATGAATTGCAAAATATTTGGCTTTCAGCTCCTAACTGCTGACTGTTCTAAAAATTTCTTTCAGAAAGCTTTTCTGAAAATATGTGTGTTCCAGTTGCACAAACTAAAATACCAAGACCTATGGCCTTAATAACTGATGCTTTTATGCCCGACTCGAAATATTTATTTTCTGTGGCTCCTGATTTGCATTTTCTTAATACCAAAAGCCTTATGAAGCATTTGTTGCTGTTTTAAAATTGAAACAAAATGCTTTTCCACTGAAATTAGATGTCTCTTGAGTAGAGAATAAAATTGTAAATAGCAAATCATGGTATAAGTATTGCAGAGACAAACATAAGCTTAGAGTTGTATGATATTTCTTAATTGAAGTAATTTACAGTCAGTTCAATCTTTCAACCAGAATCTTTCAGCCAAAATTCTGTGGAATTTCAGAATAGATGGTAGAATTCCTGCATTTGGGTTTTTGTTAAAAATCTTTTAAAACTGAGAAAATATACTTTTTTTTGTAAGCCATGAGGTTCTAGATGTCAGTTTATCAGCTGTAAATGGTGCTTGAAGGAGAGCTACTATATGTTGGAATAGAAGTAGAAAAGTCAGAATAGGTACGCCTGTCTGCTAGACATGTGATTATAAAAATTATGCAAATATTTGGTGAGGCTTATATTTGCATTAATTGTATGTGAGTGATAACAGCTGACCTAGTTAACAACAAAATCAGCATAGTAACACTTCAGCATGTGGGTTTCTGGGTTCATTCCAGAAATTACAAAAGTACAGAGAGGTTCCATCAAGTATTGGTGGCCACTGTCCTTCTGTGTATCACATTCACATCAGCACTGGGACTCGGTGATGCTGGTTGTCCAGGGCAGTAACAGGATCATCAGGAGACCTTTTGACTTTCACATATTGCAGGCACAGTTTCCAAGAAGAATTGCTGGGAGAAGGACAATGGAGAAGGTTAGGACCGTACTGGTACAGTGTCTCTGACAACTCCTTTTGCACGCTGTTGTCCTGTATAAATATTTCCACTCTTTCCCAGAAAATGCAAGTCAGAGTGAGTGCCACAGCCTCCCTCATACTACACCTGAGCTGCCTCTGTCAAGTGGACTTAAGGCAAATTATTCCATTTAAAAACTCCACAAAAATATATGAAATGCTGCAAAAGTGTGAGCTCTTCTTACTGTAGTATCATGACAACATTCCTCTACAATGGCAGTATCCAGTTGTTAGAACAAACACCATAAACCAGATTTAACATGGCAGTTATAATGAAAATACACAGGGTATAGGGCAGTGTAAATTTCACAACTACAAAAATTTTGATAAGCTTCACTTACAGTTAAAATATCCTAAAATGTAAAATTCAGTTGATAGAAAATTAAGTGTTTTTTCATATTGCATTCATTATCAGTAGCAGTCATTTGGTCACAATGAGCAAACATTAAGAAAGAATCATCATGATCCCACTGATGGCATTTTTGTAACTCAGTGTCTGTATGTTGATGACTTCTGCAAGGTGTCATACTTTGTGTAGTTTCTAATATAGGAAAAGCATTGCAAATGCAGGTGACTGTCCCTTGGTTTTTTCATCGTGTGGTACATAGAACTAGCGGCTGTATCTATTGATATTCTCAATCTTTATTTTACATGTTTTATCCAAGTCGTGTAAGCCTCCTAGAAACTGGGGGAGAAGAATTCTGTTTACTTGAATTTGCAGCAGTCATTTGTAACACTGGGTTTGATTCACTTTGCTGTATTTGTACACCTGTCCTCTGTTCAGTGACGGAGAGAAGTATTGTTCTTTTTTATATTCTTCCGCTAATTTCTTGATTGATATTTTATTTAAAGCTTCCAAGCCAAAGTTATTTTTTGGATAGAGATGCCATTGCAGGACAGAAAGCTGCATTATTGATTTGGTTTTCAAAAATTTTTTAGTAAGTTTGTGGTAGGCACACGGTTCTATTTCTGTCTATTTCTGTGTTCAAGGACACAGAAGAGCAGTGTGTCCTAGTGGTGTGTGTACCAAGGAGGAGATTTTGTAAAAGCAGAGTCTGTTTGCGTGGGCACAAGCACATGCCAGTGCGTGAGGTGGTACTTGGCAGAGCATGAGTGCTGATCAATGAAGAAGTGAGGTCGCGCTGGGAGAGGACAGTGCATGGGGTTTCTCCAACTCAGTATGGGCTCAAATTCCAAAGGTCACTTAGATACCCAAAGATAAATGTAAATATTTTGAAAACCACCTACTAAATGAATCTCTTCTTTTGATGAAAGTAACACTAACTCATTGAGAATGTGGTCTTGATGAACCTGGGATAAATGCCCGGATTCTGACTAACCCTAGTTGGTTTCCCACCCAGTAATGTTACCCAGATATCCCTGAACACATGCAGAACATTGAGTCATGTTATAAGGTTATCTTTCAGCTAACTATATTAACTATATTAAACCTATCTAGTAGAGGATACAGTTCTGTATCAGAAGATTTTCTGCTGTTAATGCCCCTAGCCCACCCACTACTCTACATTTAGACAGAATAAGTGGAACACAAATAAAAGCTAAGTTTATCACATCAGAAGATGCTGGGTTTGCATGCTCTTATGGTAGAAGCATTAAAGCACAGTGTGTGGATATGAAAATATGTGGGTTTTTCTTTCACGGGTAGCTGTAAGCATCCTTTGATGTGAAAGATTCCTTTTCAGAAGTCAAATTTTAATTTCCTTTTGGGGAGAGTGAAAACCTCACTGCATGCAGGCTGCAATTTTCCCACCACCCCTCTCTCTTTGGTGTGTTTAGAACATGTCAGACAGGAGTTGCCATGCCTGTATCCTGCATATAAATTCTCAAAAATGTGAATAATGTGAATAATAATCCCACATTAATGACAGTTAGTTATGGACTGAGATTTTGACTTTGCTTCTTTTCGTATTTTGGCATTATATATGAAATATGTAACTTCCCACCTATTTACAGAGAAATGAAAGGTTGTATGGTTTCTTCATGACTTTTTTTCTGTTTGTGGCAGAAGAGTGAATCCAGGCAGCAATAATCATGACATGCTTGCTGAGGGAAAAAAGTTACCTAAGAATTACTCTTGAGAAACATCCTTCACAGGAGAAATTGAGAAAGATACAGACTCATTTTTTTGTTTTATTCTCATGGTTTCCCTTCTGACTTTGTAGTCAACTCACTTTGGGCTGGATTTTACAGGCGGTTTCTTAGCTACCTAAAAATGTACCTAGAAATGTACCTGTCTCACACTGTGACGTTACATTCATAAGGGAAGAACTCTAAAAGGTGAAATCAGGCTTGCTTTTTCACTTTTTCATGTCTTAGCTTTTTTGTCAAATTTGACTTGAAATCTAAACATTCATTTTTTTTGTTTTAACTTCCTACAAGAACCATTATATGAAATGAGAGGTTATGTTATTATATGTAATTTCTGAGGATAAATGTGACTTTGACTGGAAGGAAAGCATGTTGGATGCTCTTCAGTCTTGCTTGGAAACAAGAAAAGTGCCAGCTGGAAATTATTCTTGCTGGAGAAGGCCACATAGCCCATGCCTTTCATGTCCAGGAAATCTCAATAGCTTTAGCTCCAGCAAGCTGTACCCTGACTTCCAGTACATCTCCCTTTTGCTGTTCCTTGGATCTGTGTGTTACTGACAAAAAAAGAAAAGAGCACTGTTGTGGTCTACATTTCCTACCTTGAAAAAGAAGCAGTCACAACCAACTCTTTTAGTAGCTGGCTGCTTTTCTTCCAGCCTGTTGAGACATAGGCTCTGCAGCTTCACTATCAGTGAATACACTACTGGGCTGTGCAAGGTGCTTTAATTGCTGTTGACCACAGAATGTGTCTTTGACTCAGGAGGGCTTCCTCCAGCAGCATGTGAATGGTTGTTCTTGGGGCTCCTGCCTGACCCTTGTAAACTCTTGTCTTACCTGTCTGTCATTTTACCCCCAGCTCTTGGGCATTTAGATCTTGCCTTGCCACCTTTTATGTAAATTACCCCCTACTGGTTATGAAACATCCTACTGGTCATAAAAACTCAGCACACTTTATAAGGTGGCAGGTGCTCTAATGCAGCAAATTATTTTAAGAGCTATTGAAAATATGGAATTCAGATCAAATATACTCTCTAAATGATTCAGTGTCTCATTGGTGATCAGTGAAGTAGACAGCGATGCTGTGGTGCTTAAGATTTACTACAAAAGAGTTGTGAATGCAAACTCAAGCTTATTTTCCATGATAGTATCCTCAAAATCATATGGATGCCCACTCAGCTCTCAAAAAAACCCAAGAATTGTGTGTTTTTTTGCAAAGTCTCCATCACTGCATCTATCCCAATATAAATATCTTCCTATGGTCTTTTCTTCTTTCTGTACTCTCATCGCCTTATGTTCAGGGTAGAGTCAATGTTGGTTATTTACTCTTCAGTATTTCTTTTGCTCTAAGCCTTCTAAGAAACTGGAACAAGAATTAAAAAATCTACCACTTCTTCTCAAGTCAGGTCTTTGGCAATGTTGACTGTATTCCCCTAATGAAAGGGGTATTTGTGCCAAGAAAAAGTTTTAGTTTATGTTGTATTCCCAAGTTGTAAATGAAGTATCTTCTGGCAAGTGATTTTCCCAATTGTGCCTTAATTTTTGTAGAGTGTCTGCTTTCCGATGTCCCACTGCTGTCACATGTTAAGTTAAAGGATATTACAAAGGTTATTCCTTGTTTGCCTTCATAGAAACAGTAGGTTTGTGAGAAGTTTCTCTGCTGTCAAATCCCTCGCTTCAGGAAGAGAAATCTTTAATACATATAGTGAAATATTTTGGGAGTAACCATGCTATTTGGGATGAATAACCATTAGAAAACATAAATGCATGCCAATAAAAAATCTGAAATGCTGCAAAAAGCATGTTAATCAGATTTGCTCCAACCCCGGTGGCCTCAGTCCCCATGTATAATACATCTCTCTGGTGAGTGCAGGTTATAATCCAGGGATTGTTCTCCAGTCTACTTTTTATCATTGTCTCTGGGTAATAAGGTAAAATTCTGCCATGGGCACCTGCACAGCTGTAACCATCCAGCTGTGTTTACTGTCTAAAAGACTCAAACCAGATTTACACTGAAAGCCTCCTCCAGAGATACTGGAGGTCTGCAAATGATGAAGCCAGCCATGCAGACATGATTGCTGAGCTCATAAAGCTTTTGTTGCCCAAACTACATTGCAAAATCAAGAAAATGCATATATTTTATATATTTACACCAGTGTATATATAAAGACTAGCTTTTTTTGATTCCTAGAAAGAATAATTTGCGAGATTAAATATTGTTTAGCTGTCCAGTGTTCTGATTATAGATAAGGTAACCTTGAACAAATAAAATCTCAGAATAGAAGGGAGAGCCTTTGGCAACATTGCTTCTCAGATGCACCCAAGACTCCTTTGCCTTCCTTAGGAGTGCACAGGTGATTCCCCAGTTCTGATACCTTGTAGGTCAGAGCAAACTGGAGATGATCTTAAATTACTCAAGTTTTTAGCCTCTTGCTCACCTAACCCCCAATGGAGTTCATTAACGAAAGCCATAGCCAACTGTTTCGTGTGTGAATTTTCTTTTAACCCACAAAATCTGTGGCCAAGGGTTTGCATTCTGCAAGTTTCTGCACAATTCTGAACAGAGGTTCTGCAACATTGTTTAGAAACTCTTGAACTTATGTGCTGGTATTTAATGAATGTTTCTGAGAATACCATGTCATTTTAGAGGCTGAGGTACAGGGATTTATATTATTCCAATGGAAGTTTTGTATTCTCTCTGTTTTTTTCTGTTTATTTTAATGTTTCTTCAAGTTCATTCAGTCATATACTACTAATAGAGGAGAGTTTGTAACATTTATTTGTATTCTTATCAGCAGAGGGAGAAGTGAAGCAGAAAAAAACCTTTTTGTTTTAATGCACATTTCCTTAAGTAGCATTTGTTCTGCTTGCTTCTTTCAAAGCATCACATGACATTATCTACTTAATTGTCACTCTTTTATTTCTTTCCAAGTTATTCTATGCAGTATCGTTTACATATGTATTATCCAGTAACTTCAAAATGGCTTAAAGTGGTTGTTTTAAATTCCTGGTTATGTGAAATTGAACATTGAAAAGCGGGGGAAATGTTTGGAACTGTGTTAACGAAATGTATGGTTTTGTTTCCCTGAAGTTTCAGACCCAGAGTTTACGTCTCTCAGACCTGCACAGAAAGTCTCAGCTATGGAGAGGGATAGTTAGTGTTACCTTAATAGAAGGTCATGAACTTAAGGCGATGGATGCAAATGGGCTAAGTGATCCATATGTGAAGTTCCGACTGGGGCATCAGAAGTACAAAAGCAAGGTAATTTTAGCTGTGACTGAAAATGTTTTTGAAATGCTTTGTTCCTGTTTGGGTTTTTTTACCTTTTATGACTTTCAGTAGTGATGGAGATATATTGCTGTAATAATCAGTTGCCAGAGCACCTGGAGCTTTGTTTAGATGTTTCTTTTTATTTCATTATAAACAAAAGTAGTACTAGATGGGGAAAAATGTAGCACTGGAAAATGTGGGTGTACCAGAGGACACACCTGATATTCCGTACAGACTGTGTTGGCTTTTATTTCTTGTAGGGGTCATTCATGAGAGGGGAGAGATGCAGACTGATTGTGACAAGTACTTTCCAGGCTTGATGCTGATTGCTTCTTGGATCCTTTGCGTTGTCTTATCCTCAAATCATGTTGTGCTTATATTCTCACTTTTCTCTTTGTGTCCTTACAGGAAGTTTCATTAAAGTTTTCTTTATGTATGAACTTCACAGGTAGAGAGGATTGATCAGAGAGACAATTAATGTGAGGACTTTCTTGACTTTCTTGCTATTATTTTTTTATTCCCCTGGTCCCTACTGTTTTGAAAATTGCTGTTTATGGAAGATGCTTGGACCGCCAGTGATGCACATGACCTTCCTCTCTCAATGGCAATGATGAATGCTGTGGTTTTCACAGCCAGACGAAGGAAAAATTGAAGAAGAAGGCAGGAACATTTAGTTGCCGTATTTGCAGAGCTCTGAGCCTGCATTAGTGCCTCCTAATCTGAAATTAGAAGAAATCAAATTTCATGCTTTTGTGAATTACAAATTTTCATAATCCTCTCTGAATTTTCCGTTTTTTCAAGCCAGTAGAACTGGTGGGTGTAAGAAGTAGTGTTTCCTTAATAGGGAAGGTACTAGGCTGTTTCTTGCTCAGACATTTGTGACTACTGTGAATACTACTTTTGCATTTTGGTAGAAAAATCTGTAAGCTTTTCATTCTGCACAGTGTGATCAGAAGTACATGGACTGAAATCCATTGAAGTCAGAAGTAACTGGACTGAAAATGATTGAGAAAGCTACTTTCATCTGAGTTTTAAATGAAAAGAAGTAAAATACAGTTTTGGGAAAAAAAAATTTATTCCATACAAAGTAAACCATAGTATCATATTTCTCCCAGTATCACTGCAGCTGGGGAAAAAGGACACGATAAAATTGTTTGTTTAAGTACTTAAAGTCACCATCTTCTTGTCATTGCAAGTGTTTTGTTTTCTTTTGGGCTCAGAGACACAACTTTACAGCTGTCACTTAAGAGAGGACATCATTTTTCTATAGAGAAATGTCTCCATTCCCAGGGCAAATCGTTTGTTCAGGAGGCTTTTGAAGGTGGACAGGTTGCAGGATTTTGGAGGTTGCTGTTAAGTCAGAGAGGCATGAGAGAACTGGCCAGTAGTCTTTTCCTAATGATACTATTTTTTAATTCTCCCTGCTTGATATACTGATACTGCAGACAGAAAAAAACTTCCTGAACAGAGTCTAAAGATCAAATTTACAGTTCAAGGAAGTGTGTGCCTACACTATACAATATGACTTTCTTTTTTGATCTCCTTTCAGATTGTGCCAAAAACTTTGAATCCTCAGTGGAGGGAGCAGTTTGACTTTCATCTCTATGAAGAACGAGGTGGAATTATTGATATTACAGTGTGGGACAAAGATGCTGGCAAAAAGGATGATTTTATTGGCAGGTTTGTGCAATTCCAGCCTTCTTATTCCCTGGGGCTCATTAAAATGAGCCTTGCTGTTAAAACTATTTCTTATGATCATTTGGTCTTGCTTTTGTTGTGTGGTTTGTTTTTTTTAAAGTTTGGGGAGGATTTTCTGCAATGTACCAGTACAGTTTGCTGCATTGATGTAATTCTTTACTTTGATGATGTAAAATAATTTTTACTGACCAGTAGATGGCAGCTTTTACCAATTGATAGATGGAGGTTTTCAAAAATAAAAATCCCCCATTTAGAGCAATTACCAAGATGCGGGAGGTTCCATACAGCAACATCCAGTTTGGAGGAGAAATAACTCTTTTGACTTGTAATAGATGCGTAAGACCAAATTTATGTATCAATCTATTTGGTAAATGAAAATAGAGTATTGAAAGACTGCACATATCTTTTGGGGCAAATAAATAAGATCATTCACCTAATTTATAGTCAGGAAAAGTGAATTTGTCTTAGAGTTCAAGAAATAGTATGTATTTGTGTGGCTATGCTCCATTGCAAAGAGTAGGAAGTGGCATTAACTGGTGCTAATGGGGAAAAAACTGTTTGTGCTTTTAGGTTCTATGAAGTAGAAATTGGAAAGCTCAGGTATTTTTTACATCATACTTTCGTTGATATCCATACAGTCATTATAATAGGATTAATAATTATTAATCCTATATATTATGGTTGTTTGTGAGAGTATTGGTTGTAGGTGCTTTCACTAGGACATTGATACTGTTAACTAGCAAAAATACTTTCTTTTTGGTGATTAAAATCAGGAATGGAAATCCCACAGACCAAGCCATGTATTTTTGTTGTCAATATGGCAATGTTTCTACTGACCTTTTCTTCCCTCTTGTTCCATTTAAGGTAATGGCTTTCTTTATCAAATTAGGTGAGGTGAATAATATTCTGTGTTTATTTCTTACTATAAATTCTGAAAACTCAGAATGTGTACAGAGTCTGTGGCAAGCAAACAACTTTAATATTGACAAAAACACTTTTCAAAAATACACACAGTAGGATTTTATTTTATATGATGAAACTCCATGACATATATGGTAGCAATAACTGTTTTTCTGAACTAGTGTAATCATTTAGTCCTATGTTGACATATTATATACTTTGGGAAATTATTCCTATTTTCTTCATAATTTTACCTTTTTATCCAAAAGATGGTGAAGCTTTCATGTGTGATTTTTCATCACACCATCATCCAAGCAGCACTTGCTGAAATCTTGCTGCTCTTGATTTTTGTAACCTCTCTGTCAGTGTATGTATAATCCCTCTTCAGTTTGTCCTTTCAGATACTCTCTCATTTCACCTTCTGTTGGTACCTTATCTCTGGATAATGCAACCTGCAAACAAATTCCTTCCCATGAAGATTTCCATAAAAAACTGTCATTTGTCATGCTCAATCTGAATACAAAAATAGGTCTTAATATTCCCCCTCCCTGATATTCTTTTCCAGTCATTGTGGATAAAAATCACCAACACCTGACAGCTCCACTTAACACTGACCTCTCTTTCCCAATTTTTCCTTTAAAGGCTGCCTCGAAAAACTGGAAATACCTTGGCGCACACATTACGACTTGCTCTTTGTGTGTGTGTGTTATGATAAGTGTAGGTTAATTTTTAAAAGCATGGCTGAATTGTGCTCCATGACTAAGGCTCTATGGCTCTCAAGGCACATGTATATTTTAATTCATGTTCCAGAAGAAGTGATAATGAGGCTGTGGGAGGGAAACAAAAGACTTCATGGTAGCATTCTAGCGTTGGTCAAGAATGGAGGGTAATTCCTTTCACCTGCTTGCTTGAATAATGTGCATACAGCAGCTGTAATATTATATAAGAATATTTCTGTTAAATGCAGATGAAAACAATTGTTTCTTGAAGATGTCCTGCCTGGCCAAAGAATAGCTAGGGAGAAGACACATTTGATTGAATAGATCCTATTCATTGAGGGAAAGAACAAACCAAATTGAGAAAACAGAAGAAAAGGTTTCCCAGGTGGAAGGTTGAAGGGACAAATTCCAGGATCTTCATGGAAAATAGCACAGGAGACCTGTGTTTTTACTCTGCTGAGCTCAGTTACTTGCAAATTCTGTTCCAAATCAGAACGCCTTAAACTCTCCTGGAATAATACCATGTTTCAGCTGCACTTTTTTGAAATAGAAGAAGTAGGAAGTCAGGGACATAGACATCTGTGGGCCTTGTGTATCGTTGTACTCGTTAGGCTAGAGCATGGTAAGGACCAGGTGAAAGCTGGGATTGTGACGCAGTGGCAACAGCATGTGTGCTCAGATTGCAAGGGCTTGGGTTTGCTATACATTTCTGAGGGTGAGAAGATGAGATCCGGGAAAAATGTTCAAGAAGCCTGAAGACTTGGAATTGAGATTCTGGTTTTTGGGTGACATAACAGGAGGACAGAAGTGGAAGGAGTGGCTTGTAAGAGGGAGGAAGATGTTAAGAAGGTGAAAGTAATGGCATTGCATCCTAGTTGAGAAAAGGAGAACGTCTGTCACATAAGTAGCATAAAGCTCTGTCTTCATCTTGATGCCCACGCACGTTCAAAATGGCGGTTCCTGAAATGAAATGCTAACGGGTTGATTTCCATTCTTAACTTGGAGCACTATGGGTTTATAAAATTCATTTGAGTTTCAGTTGTGTGCATTCTCCATGAGAGTTCAAAGGCCTTAGCACCTTGTAAACTTCCATCTTAGAATATTCTAAAAAAATCCCAAAACCCTGGAACCAATTCAATGTTTATTTGGAGATTTCAAAATCATGAGAAAAGACCTCATTCAGAAGTCTTGAGGAAAATATATTTCCAATCATGTGCTGATTTGTATGAGAAAACACTGGTCTTGATCAGAACTGAGCTTCATGTTACAGAAAGTGAAATACTGGCATTCTTCTGAATATAATTTTTTTAAAAAACAACCAGCATTCCAGGACCAAGTACATGAGATCGAGAAGTTCTTTTTATGGAAAGCACCGGGAGCTAAAGCCACACAGCATTCAAATAAGTGTGTAGACGTGCATAAGCAGTATTACTTGTTGTTTCAGCTGATAAGTAGAAATACATATGTATGTGTATATATATTGTACAGTCTGAGTACATTTAATATTCACATCTTTTTGCTATGAACAAGTAATTTATGTTCTGTATCAAGTCAGTATGCTCCTGTGATTAAAAACATACACTGCAGTAAGGTTGTTTAAGTAATATTAAGATCAAAATGAAGGTGAAGTGATTTTAATTGTCATGTAATTATTTAAATTTCTTATCATTTGTGTTAAGGCGATTCTGACTGTCACCTTTACGATAATCAGTTAATAAATCCTCATGATTGTTACACCTTTGTGCGTAGCAGTAATATGAACAAATTGGCTGCTGACAGCTGCAATAAATTGCCAAGAATGAGTGCTGTCAGAGAACAAGTTGTTTCTGTGAACATACAGGATAAGTAGATCCCATGTCATGCAGTTTTATTCAGCTGAAGTTATTTGTAATCCAGTGCAGCAGGATTTATAACATTATTTATTGATATGAAAACATACATATTCATCTTTAAAATTACATTGACTTTTGCTCTTATTTTGTGCAAATTAAGAAAAAAAGACTTGTGTATAGTATGTTCGTTAAGGCTATGTATTAATTTTATCTGTAGCAAACTGAAATTTCCCATAAACTCTCTCAATATTGTCATGAAAATTCAGATTGATTTAGTGACCATCCGTATAATGGATGTTATGAAATAAAAAAGTTAAAATATTGAAAATTAAGTATTTAGGTTTTCAGTACCTAATCTGCTATGTCTTGTCTGTTTCGTCTTCTCAGTTACAAAGGTATAGAGTTGTGGATGTACAAATACTATAGGTTTTTGGTTGTACATAAAACAGTCAGTGTGCGACTATGATTCTGTGATTAATCTGAAAGCACTGGGATATGCTATCAGAGTTCTAAACTAAAGTGAGATTTTATTTTAAAAATATACGATTATAAAATTTATGGTTTGGGTTTTTTTCCCCACTGACATTTGCGTAATTCACTATGGGAGACTGAGCATTATCATAGAGAACTGAGTGATGCTGTAAAGCTGTGTATGGGTACTCCAACATGCGTATAAAGTTGGGTGAAGGGCACACTAAATATGCTACTGCAAGTGTTTCTTTGCAGATTTTTTTCTAGAGATCTTGTGGAGACTGTGATAAAATACCAGCAATTTTCTTTTTAAAATATTGTTGCCCGAGAAAAAGGTTTTGAATGGTATTTGTGAAAGTCCAGGGTAATTTTGAAATTGCCGAATCTTGGCAGTTTTCTCGATTTTGCAAAACTCTGTAGACAAGATGACTTCCTCTGGAATTGTAGAGAGTGCTTTATTGCGCCAGTCTTTCAGAAGTGTTTTTCACACGGTAGTTTGAAAATTTCTGCACGTTGAAGTAAAATTGGAAGGATGTATTGTATTAAAAATGTAAACATAATGGTCAATGCACTGTTATAATTTGAGATTTGAACTCTGTGTGCATGTGAATTACACAGCAATTCTGTGCAAACATAGACAAGCACACAACCAACAACCTGTCTGTATAATTGTTTGTTGATTATACATGATGACTAAGGTTAAATTATTGCAGATGCATTTCTCTGAAGCATTAAAATCTAAAAAATGCTACTGCCAGGCCTGCCCTTGAAAAATCCTAGGATGTGCTGAGCCATCTCCATTTCTGATTGTTATTAAAAGGAGCTAGATGTAAATACCGCATCTCAAAATCTGGCCTTCAGGTATTCCGCACCTTAATTAGTCCTATCTCTGCACATCTTTACTAATGCAGAGGCACTTCTGTTCTGTTAGAAGGCCAAAAAAATTTCAGTTTTGGTTCACAAATCTTCGATAACTTTCTTTTACTTTATTATTTAAAGCTCCTACTGACATTTGTTTTTGTCACATTCTATTGCGAAACTGATAGTATTCCCCGACTTA